GGCCCTGGCCTCTTCAGCGATCTCGTCCTCCAACCTGTCTTGCTCCCAGGATCAAAGCGTAGGCCTTGGCCTTACCAATAAATATGGCTTTTCCATAATCCCAATTCTGAGCGGCCACCTCTTCCCTTGCCTTGTAGGACCCTGAGCCCACCATGTATTCACAGACTCCCTCTCGTATCCTCGCAGCTCTCCTTCCTGCGGAACTCTGAACTCTCCAGCAGCCGCCCGTAGCACTCAAGAAATGCCACCGCGCCTGGCCTCCCATCCCTCTCTGACCCGAACGTCCGCCCCTCTCTCCTTGCTGTTCCTGAAACACACTGGGCCTGCCCCCACTGCAGGGCTGTTGTGTTGTCCCACTTCCCTCCTGCGGATGCTCATCAAGTAAGCCCCACAAGGAAGGCTGAGGCCCTGGGCTCTGGGGCTGTGTTCGTGCTGGTGTCTTTCACTGAGTAATGGGAGGAGAGGCCTGCTGGGTATGGGATGGGGAAGAGTTCAGACTTGGATATGCAGAGGTCAGCGTTGGTCCTGTGAACATCTAAACCTGTTGAGACAGCTCAACAGGTGCCTCCGGAGTTGGAGAAAGGGCCAGGCTGGAGCTGCGGACGAGGCATCAACACCTGAGAGCAGAATGCCTTGGGAGCGCGAAGAGCACAGAAGACCACTGGCATGAACAGCCTCACAGCAAAGCTCTCTAACAGGCGTGGCTGCTAGCCGAGCAGGAGGAAAGCTAGGGCAAGGACTCAGAGGCACCCAAGGAGATCGGGCTTTCGTATTTAAATAGACTACAGCTATGACTAAGTTTCTAGGACACCATGAGGCTTGTGCAGGCTATTTTCATGGATCCTGTTCTTGCATGACAGGCACAGGAAGGAGGATGTGGAGAAGGGAAAAGCATGGGGTCCAGACTCACACTCCTGAGCTCAAATCCAGGTTCTGCACTTACAGGTGACTTTGTTTCAATGCGCCCATGTCCTTGTCTGCAAAACTAGGTGACCGAGAAAAGCGGAGGTGGAGAGCACATCTGAAGTGCTCGGAGCACATACTCAAGTAAATGAGCTGCGAGCAGGACACAGTAACCTAGAGAGCAGGCTGGCCCTCAGCCAGGGTCCCAGTGGGAGGGACAGAGAATAAAGAAGCAGCCCCTTATGACACAGAGAACAAAAGCTGCCCCGAAAGAAGGGGAGTGGGAGGGTCTGCTAATCACCAGGCTGGAGAGAAAGCAGTGGGTTTCCGAGGAGAGGGGTGGGGGGATAAAAACAGGACGGAAGCGTGACTTTGCAAAGGGGCTAAGACAGGCACTCCTAACCACGGTTATCGGGATCACTTGTAGAGCCAAGCTTGGGTTCTATTTCCAGACATTCAGTAAATCTGAGGTGAGGTCTGGGACACAGCTCTTTAAAAAATCTCCACATGATTATGACATGTCACCTGAGTGGAAAATCATGGCAAGGCTGTCAAAAGGTCTCCCAGGGACAAAATTCTCCTGAGAAAATGCGGGGGCCAGGGTGAGAACAGAACCCACCAACACCCTGGCCCCCAGAGTTCCTGCCCGGTTCTCAGCTCCACCCTGCTCTCGGTGACCACAGGGCCAGAGAGCCCAGTGAGAAGGGGACAGCACAGGCAGGAAAGGTATCAGGACCCTAAAGGACTCAGGTCTGAGTTAGCCCAAGCTCCCACATTCTCCACCTACTTCTTAAACCAAGAGTTATTCTTGGTGCATCAATCCTAATGGGAAAACCAGGGATGTATAGTATTTTTTGCCTAAATCATTACACAATCCAATCACAAAACCCCACATTGATCATGTTTCTATTTATATGTCAAGTTAGACACTGAGTCTTCACAGGAATCCCATGAGATAGGTTGCATTATGCTGGTTTTACAGATGAAGAGTTCATCTAAAGCACGTTCTCCTGACTGCATTCACTCCCAGCCCAGCCCTGCTCCTATGACCCCACCCTTCTAGTGGTCTCCTGCACCCCTCCGGTTCCTCATCTAAAAATGTGAGGTGTGACAGGGAAGACCCTAAACCACGCCCTAAGATGAGCTGTTCTCCCAGCTGTCTGGTATACCTGCAGCAGCATGATGGAGTGGGAAAGCACAAATTCAGGTTCAAAGCTTCCATTAGCCAGCTGGGCCTGACTTAGAATTACAGTTCTGCCACTCACTGACCAATACTGAGCCAAGTTATTTCAATGCCCTGACCTTCAGATGCCTCCTCCAGAAACCGCGAGCAAACCACCCACCTGAAAGGATACTGATATAGGAGGGTCAAGCACTTAAGACAGGACAATTTACTGAGCTCAATGTTCCTTCCCTTTTCCAGCCCACTCCCAGACTAGGGCCAGGCGGCACACAGCAGGAAAACTGTCAGGGAGGCATTTGGGGCAGCTGGTGACAGAACCCATCACCCGAACATCCTCCTACTTCCTAAACTGTTCTCATATTTTGGGTAAATGACCATATGATTTTGGGTGGGCAACAGGGAATGCTTTAATTCTGATAGTAGCTCTAAGCCAGTGAATTTGCCAACTCTTGCCCAAGATTAAATATTGTTCTTAAGATCCTGGAGAAATCTACCAATTTGGCAGGTTGGAATTGTTGGTTATTATTTACAGGTTTATTTCCAGTGATCTTTAAAGTGTCAGGTGACATTTCCCAAATGTCTGCCTGATAGAAGAACATAAAACAAAGTCCAGATTTCCAGGCAGGGGTTTCTCTGCTGCTCACACAAACTAGATCTGAGGTGCCTCCCACGACGGTGCTTCATCTCCCAGCCTACCATGCACACTGTAAGCTCTCTGCATTTTAACAGCGAACAGAAACCCATCCGAGTGTGCCTTACCCACTGCTGGGGACAACTGGATTCAAATGAGCTTCTTAACTTCTTGCACTGAGAAGCGTCCTCTGTGTTCTCATCTAAACACTTCCAGTATTCATCCC